TAAAAGGAGTAAAGCATATTACTAAGAATATATGTGTGTGTATATATATATTATATTAATCTACCTAGGAGCGTTGACTCCATTGGAATTAGAACGAAGAAGAATCGATATCAAACTCAATAAAAAATGGAAATTCGTAGAATTAAAATTATTTTAGAATAGTTTTATTTAAGAAAAGTTGTTTCATGATGGCTCTTTTTTAAAAAATAAAATTCTACAATTATCAAACCTAATTAATATAAATGAATTTTTGTCGATTTTATTTTTCAGATATTAGAACTATTTTTAGTTCATTGTCAAACTTAATTCAAATATTTTAGAGTTGGTTTAAATTATATTTTTTATTTTTTATTTTATATAGAAACTAAATAATAATAAAAAATAAATTTGTTGAAAGAAATACATATTAATCAATCATTCATGGCCGACACAATCTTTTACACCAATAACAGCTATAAACCCCACTTTCATAACCCAAGCAGATTAATTTTTTAAATAATAATTAAAAGAAAATACATTGACCCGACACCTCAGCATTCTCTCCATGCTTACGTGGCGTTCTGAAAGTCAAAAATGGCCGACAAAGCCATCCTTCTCACTCCCCTGTTCCTCCGCGTGTTTCCTCATTCTGCACCCTCTTCCGCCGCGTTCCTCCGGCGCTGCCGACCTCAACTCTGACTTCTCCTGTTCTCGATCCTAATTGCTTCCCGTCAATCATTCCATTAAATATATACAGTCCGAACTCAAACCTCTCGCAATGGCAGAAGTAGGGCACATGGATTTGCAAGACATTCGATCCAAGCCATGGAAGTGCCCAAGGTGCGATTCGCCCGACACCAAATTCTGCTATTACAATAATTACAATTAGTCTCAGCCTCGCCACTTCTGCAAGACCTGCCGCCGCTACTGGACCATCGGCGGTGTTCTTCGCAACGTTCCTGTTGGCGGCGGAAATCGCAAAGCGAAGAACAGTTCGAAGCCGAAGCCGAAGGCTGCAATGATCGCGAGAGATTCACCGTCGTCGTAATCGAATTCGTGGAAATTCGATTTGGAAATCCTCCCGACGCCGCTGAAGTTGAATCAGGCGGGTGATTGGTACGGTTGGATTGAGAATGGAAGGGAGTCGGAAGGTGGGATTGTGGCTGCGGCAGGGGGATCGGCCGGCGGAGAAAGGGGACAGGGGCGAGGGATTTGGATCGTTGGATCATTTGCCGACAAGTGATGAAGCCGAATGAATGGTTGAGATTACCGGAGGCGTCGCAATCGGAAATCACAACTATTTAAATTATACAAAATATTAATTGTTGAGTAAGTTTCAATTATTAAATATTTTGTTAAAATTTAAATAAATATAAATTTGAAAAAGTTGAGGGCAAATAAAATAAATCCAAAAAGTTATAAATTGAAATAATAGAAATTTGGAAGGGTATTTTAGCAAAAGAAGAGTTCTCTGGCATTTTTGTCGATGATCCTAAAGAAAAACGAATTTCAAAATTCGACCCCAACGACTCTCACTATCCAATTTCTTCTCCTCTTTACGCTTTTCCTTTCCTCTCTGGTTTGCTAATTCCAGAGGTTTTTTTCATTCCTCTAAAATTCTTCTGTAAATTACTGGAGATTTCGTCTTCTCAACCATGTTTGAGCCCCAACATTTCGTCGATTTGCAAGACGACTCTGCTTTCGGCGATCAGAAATCATGGAATTCCGGCGACCACAACGCGTCCCCGACTCGCCGCCTCACTCACTCATCACTCCCAATCCCACCCATTTCAGCTTCGGCAACTACTGCTGCTGGCGCTAATGGCAATGTGGATCGTGAACTTTTCAACAATCTCGTCGCAATCGTACCCCTCGTTCAGTCTCTTATTGTAATTCGTCTCTCTTTGAGTTATTTTTTTTGCTATTTAAATGGAATGGGAATTTTGTTATTGTAGTACTAGAGGGGAGGGGGTGTGTCATGAGTCTCGTGATGAACGGAAATTTTGATTTTGGAATCGTACTATTTTTAGGTTTGTATAAATTTTACTCATGAGATGCGAAAGGCTGGAGGTGTTCATTTTGAGAGATGGGAACCGGGGGAAAGTTAGGAAAGAAATTAATTCGTGCACTGCATCTTTCTGTATTCGATGAAGGTTCAATGGTTGAAAATGTAATTCAATTTGTGATTTCTTTTCATATTCGAAGTTTTCATTCCATTTTTCGCTTCTTGTTCTTCTTCTTTTTTTTTTTTTTTTTTTTTTTTCTGCGTTTTTGATGTTTGTTGTTTACGGATATTTGGTTTGAATTAGGATCGGAAAGCGAGCAGTTCATTCAGGAAGCGGGGTTCAATGATTTACACTAAAACACCTTCTAGAGAATCATTACACAGGAAGGTAACCAGTCAAACTGTTCTGTGATTTGGTATTCTTGTATACACTTCATCTCTGATTTTATGAATCCATCGATTGGTATATGGCGCTTTGATTTCAAGGCAGGACGAGTTTACTGAATTGTTTGTGACGTATTCTGTTGATTTAAGCGCAGAGCCCCATGAGTTTCTAATTTTGCTTATTGTGTTACCAATAGCCTAATATCAGTTCGTTTTTTCGTTGCAATTGTCTCTCGGTTTTTGTGCATTCCTCAATTGATGAATTTTTACTCCCTTTGTGGGTATTTTGAAGATGGAACAGAAAGGAAGGCATAACGGCCAATCTATTCCAACCAAGAAGAAGAAAGACCATGGGGTGAAGGACCAAAGTAACAATGTTGATAGTAATTCAGATGCCGATGGCTTTTCGGTTTTCTCCTCAAGTTCTCTGGTCTCTGAAAGGGATAAAGAAGAACTAATCACATTGAGAGAACAAGTGGAAGATCTGCGAAAGAAATTGCTTGAAAAGGATGAACTTCTAAAATCAGCAGAGATGTCGAAGGACCAGATGAACAACGTTTATGCAAAACTCGATGCTTTGAATCTCCAGTCTGCAGAGAAGGATTCTCGAATAAAGATGATTCATTCCCAACTTTCAGATGCAAAGGTTCCCATGAATTGCATTTTGTTCATTGAAATAATTATCATTTTGACGGGTTTGTTTGGTTGAGGTCGAATATAAGTATCATTAAGTAACTTATGTCGATTGATCTTGAAAATATTTCCAAAAACGGATTCCTTGTAGTTTTCCAATTGTAAATCTTCTGGTTATGTAACAAAGATGGATGAGTAACTACTGCACAAATCATTACATAATTCATTTTCATATGCAGATTAAGCTTGCAGATAAGCAAGCTGCGTTGGAGAAGATACAATGGGAGGTAATGACATCAAATTCAAAAATAGAAGAACTTCAAGAAGAGCTAAAGTCATCGCAAGGAGACGTTTCATCATTTATGCTGTTACTCGAAGGCTTGTCAAAGAATGATTGCAATGAACGTGTTGAAGATTATAGTCTTTCAGTGTATCTCCCGGAGAGCTGTCCTTACATTGTATGATCTGCAGTTCGATATGCCATATGTTTTATTGATTGGAAAGATTAGCATACTTATTCTTTCTGTGCTCAAGCGTATCATGTTGTCCCTTTTGCATAAAATATTAGCTTGTTTTTGGTCACAAGTACCTGATCTTCATTGTTGACCTCTAACGACTGAGACTATTTCTCCTGTGATTCAGGATGATTTGGACGATCTGAAAATGCAGGAAATGGAAGAAGCAAGACAAGATTATGTAGCTGCTGTTGCTGCTGCAAAGGCAAGGCAAGATGAAGAATCTATTGCTGCTGCTGCAGCTGCAAGGTCACGTCTTCAGGCATTTGTTTTCGAAACGTAAGTTTCAGGCGATCGATGCTAGCATAAGTTTCGGCACAGGTTATTGCTTCATTTGGTATCATCTGACATTTCTCTCTGATAGTTTGTAGGGCATAATAGCGTTCTCTATAGGGTTACTTGAGTCATTTATTTGTAATAAACATATTTATGGAAATGTTGAAGAGGAAGTATTTATTTCATTTTGTATGTATGATGTATCTAGCCTTCCCCATGTTGGTGTGTAATGGCAACGAGCCATGCTTGGTTGTGCGCTAGAGAGGCATCTTGTTCTGCAAGTATGGAGCACATCTCTCTCATTTTCTGATGCAGTTTAGATGATCAAAACAACCCTCGTAGCTTCGGAAGAAATTCTGAGGATTTATGTATGATATAAGAAAGGAAGGAAGATCATAGGTTATAGAATGGATTGAATTGGTCATTTTAGGACCTTCTCGCGGTCCTACGGGATGTTTATTAGCGATTGTGCGACACTCACTGTTACCACTAAGTGAGTAAGCCAACTCGAAATCTTGTCGCCTTCAACCTGATGACGTATACCCAAGCATTTAACATTAACATTGCTTTTAAGTCGAAAGTTTTAGAAAACGGAGGTTCAAAAAAAATTTAGAGGAGTTTGAAAGCTAACATTTGAGATAAATATAGAAAACAATGTTACATGCTATAAGCGAAAGAGGTAACACAACGATTTAGATAGTGCATAACATAACTTCAAATAGAAAAAATTGATACAACTCGAGGGTTTTGGATGTAACGAGCATGTGACTATAGACAACGTTTTAGGCAAGTATTGCTAAGAATTCACAAATTGAAATGGCACTTCTCATCTTCTCAATGCCAGAATTGATACTCAAAATTATATTATTTTGATCCTTCTATTTTGTGTTTAATAATTAATTCGAGCCTAAAAATTATGAGTTCATTGAATTGGATGATTAAAAGTTTAAAGATCTATCCGACATAAAATTAAAAGTTCTAAAAGTTCATAGATATGTGTATCTTTTAGAGTTGTTCGATATAAGCAAAAATTTATGGATGTATTCTATACCATTTTAAAAAAAATAGAAATACTTTAATTTATTTTGGTGCAAAATTTAAAAGATTTTTTTAAGCATAAAATATTATGATTTATTTTGTAATTTTATTTTTATGGAAAGAGGATGTGGAAGGAGCATGTAAAATAGATGAAAGGGAATCAATTTGTTAAAGTTAAATCCACGCCTTTTTTCTCGGCAATTCAATTTACGCCGCCATTTTCATCTCTCTCTATCTCTCTCCTCTCCCATTTGCCTTCCTCTCTCAATCGTACGTTTTATGGTTCTTAGCTATTTCTAATTTGATGGGTTGTTTTTGTTTCCTCTCTTCTGTATTGGGTTTAAATGTTTTCTTGCAATTCCTTCTGCAGAGAGAGAAGGAGAAACAAATGGCGACCAAATCCGAGAAATTTTCAGCTGATTTTGTGATGGGTGGTGTCGCCGCGATTGTGGCTAAAAGTGCAGCGGCGCCGATTGAAAGGGTCAAGCTTCTGTTGCAGAATCAGGGAGAGATGATAAAGAGAGGGCATCTTAAGAAGCCTTATCTGGGCATTCATGACTGTTTCAGAAGAGTTTTGAGAGAAGAAGGGCCGTTGTCACTATGGAGGGGAAATCAGGCTAACGTCATTCGATATTTCCCTACTCAGGTACTTCTTTTCATGAACTTTCAATTTGTTATCTCTGCAACAGAAGCTTCATTTCTTTCAGCAGCTACACAAGCTTTTACTCCCAATTTTATATTTGATTCATTGTTACTTTTCTGGTTATGGATTCCCGTTTTCGTTGTTCTTTGTAGCCTCTTTCATTTAGTAGCATTAGCATAAAGTGTTGAATTAGCATTTGGCTGAAATCATGAATTTATGACCACAGATTCAGGAACTAATGTAACCTTAATCCCTATGAAGGTTTATGATGCATTCTAATTGATGAAACTTTGGAGAATATTCAAGATTCTAATGAACTGATTGAGAATTATGGTTTATTGTTATTCTTAATGACCAAAGCTTTAATTTTACGATATCATCTCCAAATGCTTTTACAGAAGAGAATTTGAATTGCCCATAGGCTTTCAACTTTGCATTCAAAGGTTACTTCAAAACGAAATTCGGGCGCTCAAAAGAGAAGGATGGATACATCAAGTGGTTTGCAGGAAATATTGCTTCAGGAAGTGCTGCAGGAGCAACTACATCGTTTTTTCTGTATCATTTGGATTATGCACGCACTCGACTAGGCACCGATGCAACGGACGGTGGCAGAAACAGCCAGCGCCAATTTAAAGGGTTGCTAGATGTCTACAGAAAAACCTTGACAAGTGATGGAATTGTTGGTCTATACCGAGGATTTAGTGTTTCAATTGTGGGAATTACTCTGTATAGGGGCATGTATTTTGGGATTTACGACACTTTGAAGCCTCTTGTTCTTGTTGGGCAGTTTGAGGTAAAAGCATCTATTCTATTCTGTGCATCAATTAGCCAGTTTTCCACAAATGATAGTCTTGGGAGCTGCATGTTGGAGAAATACATCATCTTACTATCATAAACATGGATATCTTCAATTTATCTGGTTGCTTTTTTTTAGACCTTTCCTTCAATGTTCTTGAAAGTTTGTGGTTTGTTGTTTTATGCAGGGGAACTTTTTTGCTAGCTTCTTATTGGGGTGGAGTATCACAACATTTTCTGGGGTATGCGCTTATCCTTTCGACACGCTGCGACGAAGAATGATGCTTACCTCTGGACAAACCCTGAAGTACCACAGTGCTTTACATGCATTTTCCGAGATCATTCGCCATGAGGGTATCGCTGCTCTTTTTCGAGGAGTCACTGCCAATATGCTTGTTGGTGTTGCAGGGGCTGGTGTTCTTGCAGGTTATGATCAACTGCACGAAATTGCATGTCGACATGGTTACTCCTATGGCGGGCAACAACATCAAATAGCCTCGAAATGACCGAAAATGGTATGTTCAACTTCATAATTGAACCTGAAGTAGATCTAGGGAATTAAAAGGCTGAAGATGTTTATTCACTAGAAAATGCCCTCCTAGAATTTACAAAGAATTTGATGCCTTTGTCTGTGTATAGTTCAAATACATCTACATTTGTTGGTTGTTTATGTAATTCATGACTTCAAGTTGAAAATAGAATACATTTGTTGGTTGTTTATCTATGGGAGTCCAACATATGTTCTTACAGTTTCTCTTCCTGTTTTTCCTTTAAATCTCGGTCTGTCGAAGAAAGACGATCAATCCAGCCTAACAATCTGTATCGGTCCCTCCATTTGAAGGACGGCCGACTAACTTTCATCAACCTCTGCTATAGAATCTGATTGACTAAACAATTTGTTTGAACAATAGAATTGTAGAGCTGGATCTTTTTATAACTCTTTGTAGAACAGAAACTACAGTTTTTAAGAACCTTTATATAAACCTAAGAAGGTGAAAGAATATGATACACAAAGAAAAGAAAAGAAAAGAAGAAAAAAGATCAAGCCAAGAGCCAGAAGTTCTTGTGACGTTTGGTCGTGATCAAATATCCTCCAATCTTTTTGCTCTTCTTCCTCACTGCAATGGTCATGCAAGAGGAGTTCTGAATGCAATACTCCGCCGTTGCTCGACAACTCTTCTTCTTCCTTCTCCTTCGATAGCGTCCTGTCGCCCATCTTTTCAATAGACGCCGAAGGATCGGCCTCTTTCTTTGACCAAGTACCAAAAGAGAGAGTTTATGCTTCTTAGCTTCTTCCACAATTATTGGACCTCTTTCTTTCCCTTCTAGTAATGCCATCTCTACTTGCACCTACTCAAGCAATTGAGGTGTACACATTTAGATACATATTGATATGCATATGTCTATAAGCATAGTATGAACATGAAGTTACCTCAGGCCTTCTCTTTAAGCACATGTTTCTCATAGAAAACAGAAGCTTATAGGCCTCCTTTGTGGAATTCACCTTATTCCCAAACTCAAAACCTGCAAAAAGTAGAAACAAAAACAATCACTTCCATGTTCCATCTCAACCCAGAAACACAAATCTCTGAAATTCTCACCTCGAGGCTTCAAACTCTTGAGAACATTAACAAGAACAATGGTGTCATGGCTCCGAACAGCATGAGAGAGTGTCCATTCCAAAGCCCCTTCAGCCTCAACGCTCCAATCCACAACCACCATTACTCTGTTTCCATTTTCAGACGAAGCTTTGGAGCTATCAGAGCTGAACTCTTCTTCCCCACTAACAACACTTCCTAAAAGCTCCTTCTTTTGGACATTTTCCACAGAATCTGAGATGGGTTTTTTGTGTTGTGGCCTAGAACAAACCCAGAAACAAGCCATGAAAACAGAGACCAAACAAACTTCAGCTCCCTCTAAAACTCAAAACCCACCATTTTTCTGAACTCAAAACTCAAAACCCACCATATAAACAACTTGAACATAAATACAAAAAAAAGAATGGTGGATAGGGACAGCAATGCATTGACTTTAATAGTGTGGAATTTGGAACCCAAAACTTGATGCATTAAAGATTCAGTTGTTTTGTTGTTTGAATGTCAAATGACGGTAGGGCTGTTCCAAGCCAGCTTAGACGTGCAGAACATAAATTTTTGGTAGCCAAGTCTTCAGAAATGGCTGCCACATTCATTATTCATTAATTTTTGCTTCCCTTTTCATATGATTGGAAATATGAATTGTTTGAATTATTTCACACGAGGCCTCCTCTCTTTTTCCAGTCGTCTTCTTGTCCGAGTGATTGACTCATCCACCTAACACTCTGCTCTTTCCAATGGCGTTGAACAATCAATTATTTGTTCATATTCAATCTCTTCATTCCGTCAATTATGTTAAGTTTTGGTTCTAAATTTTGCCATTATTATCATCCATCCTCTAAATATGCAATCATTTTTACATTTAATTGGCTCTTAATTAAATATGAAAGAATATTGCTAAATAAATATGAATTAGTTATCTTATTTGAACCACATAAAAAAATTTAGACAAATTGTAGAACTGTAATGGCAATATTAAATGATGTAATGGGTTCATTAAATTTCGATTTAATTATTGTTGTCTGTTGAGTCACCCACCGACAATATTAATTCTGTTTTTAATGTAGCTTCATAATATAAAATTATTTGTACCTTCATTTACAATGGTCAAATTTTTATACAAACTTTACTATATAGTTTGATATTTGCCCTCCAGCTAAGTTGTTTATTAATGCTGATATGTTAAACTTAATTTGACGCATGGATACTTAAATGGTAACCGTGACAATATTTAATTATAGTCGGATCAAAAAAAGGAAAATAGAGAAGTGATAGACCCAAGTTTAAAAGTATTGATGCCACACGGACTTGTCTGCTTTGGCTTGTTACGTATCAACGTCAGTCGGAGAGGTTTCACAGTCTTATAAGAAATGCTTAATTCTCCTCTCCAACCGACGTGGGATCTTACGATCCACCTCTCTTGGGGGCCAACGTCCTCGCTGGCACACCGCTCGGTGTTTAGTTCTGATATCATTTGTAACAACCCAAGTTTATTGCTAGCAGATTTTGTTTGCTTTGATACCAATCTATTGTGAGATCCCATATCGGTCGGAGGGGGACGAAGCATTCCTTATAATAAAGACATAGAAACCTCTTCTTAACATATGTGTTTTAAAATCGTGAGACTAATGTCGATACGTAACGAACAAAAACAGACAATATATGCTAACGGTGGGTGTATCAACAATACTAAGGTTATGAAATAGAAAATGAAAGAAGAGGGGAGAAATGTTGGTAAATTAGAGTACTAAAGTTAGTTAGTGGCTGCCATTTACACAACTATATACAGTCATATGTCACTGTGTGCCTTATTCTATAACAAGGTCTCATTTTGGAACCCACAAGCCTGCCATGCTTCTTAGCTCATTATACCCTTTTCTGAAAATTACTTACTAAAAGCTACAACTTCCACAAACATCCATTATCCAAAAGGGTTCATACAGCAAAAAAATTAGGTAGTGGCATATGATTTTAGTTACCAAGGTGGTGGCCGAGCATCCAGGGCGGCAGGAGGGTGCCGGATCTGTCGTGGTTGGCGGCGGATTCTTCGTGTCCGGTGGCGTGTGTTGGGTAAGGACAACTGGAAGCAAACAAACCCAGTTATTATGAACTCCTAATCTGAATGAATGTAATGTTTGTAATTAAGATACTAACGGCATGTTAAGAGATTGGAATGGCTGAGGAAGAAGAAGTGGAGAAGGTTCAATGGCATGGCTATGCTGCTGCTCCATTTGTGGATTTTGAGCTTGTGCTTTCTCCTTCTCCCTTATCTATTGTTCAGATTAAAAGAAAGCAAATAAATTAAGTAAGGACATTATGGTGTGCGTGTGTGCATACATGAAGGTAAGAAGAAGAAGAGAGTCACCTTCTTGGCTAACATGTTATTTTGGTCCTGAAGCGCCTTGTCCTGATCAAACATGCCACCATAATGAAATTGTTGTTATTGTTCTTGTTGTTAGAGATCAAAATTGATATTGCTACGTAAATTCTGTAAGTTTTCTAACCATCATCAATGTTATTCCATAAATGTCTATCAGATTAATCCAAGTAAAGAGATTTAAGGGTGTGTTTGTGACTGTTACAGATGCCCATCGGACAATGCTTCCTTGTTTTCCTTCCTTGTTTCGGTCTATATCTTCCTTCTTCTTTTCATTTTTTTGCATATATATATATATATATATAAATAAATAAATGTTGGGTGGGACTGAGACAAAGAATATAATTGTTGTCCTCGATCCTGTTTAGTTATTAGGGAGAGATTTTTACCTGTTGCGTCCACCCCTCATTTTTCGCCCCTTTTGAGAGGGTGTCTCGCAAGTTAAATGGACATCTCTACTCTTGTCACGTTCAAAATCATTTTAAAACCTATCTTTAACATTTATAGAGTTGAAGGGTTTTGTTGAGATTAGTTGAACAAGTTTATGTAGGTATATAGAATGATTAATCTTTGGTGGGAGTTGCATTTTTGGAGATGTGAGTGTGTATAAAAGGCAACCAAGAAAGCTTACCTTTTTCTGAAGATCTGAAATGGATTCATGCATGAGTTGGTTCTGTAGAAGAAAAGGTTGTGAAGATGAAGTGTGTATAATGATGAACAATAGTCCAATCTAACATAATCATATCCATACCTTCCTGGCTCTTACATGCTTGAGCGCAGAATCAAGTTGTTGCTCAATATTTTGAAGCTCTTTTAGACTCAAGGACTCAAGATCTTCCCCCATGAAATGCCTGCAAATCCCAACCAACTTTATACCATTCCCAGAAGAAGAAGAAGAAGAAGCAGAAGAAGCAGAAGAAGAAGAAGAAGCTAAGTTTTACCTGTGGTTCTTCTGAAGAACCTCTATTCTGGCTTTAAGCTTTGCATATTCAAGAGTCCAATTTCCCTAAACACACAAAACTTTTTCATTATAATCACCACCAACTCGATGGGACGGGACGGGACGGGATGGGTTGGGTTTGGTACGTACGTTTGATTGGCTATCATTCGCAACAAGCCGCCTCTCTGCGTACGAGTACCTTTCATAACGCTCAAGGATCTTCTCCATGCTGCTCATCAAAGCTACACTCATTCATTATACACACAATAATAATGCCAATCCAATATCAACACCCCATTCTAACTATATACTCAATTCTTTGTTGCGACTCTCTCCTTTTCTCAAACAAATGAGTTACTTTTATTAAAGTGATTTTGGCATTTTGTTTGCTGTAAATGAAATCCTATAAATCTGGTCTATTAATCTTGCTTTCGAAGTCCAAAGTTTGAATCCCTACTCCATATTGGAACTATAAAAATAAAGTACGGTAATGTCGAGAAAAATACAAATATTTAGGATGGATTGAAATGGTTGATTAAATAGTAAATTTGTAGAGTAATTGAAGTTGATCCAGTTGGTTAGTGCAAGAAGAAGAGGGGGAGGGGGCCAAGGGTTGTTCTTCATTTGTTCAACAATCAACACTAAAAAAGAGAAATCTGATATGGGTCCAATCTCAATGAGTTATGCTCATAATAAGTAGTGTAAAGTTGGAAAAAGAAAAAAAAAAACGCGACAAGGAGAATGTAGTGATTGGACTACAATACTGAAAATCCAAAATAACAATGATAATGGAATTTGGGTGGTGGGTTT